ATTCTGATCTTTGATGTTCTGGGTAGGAGAGGCAGAGGGTCCGGATATGCACATGGGACCTAGAGCAGGGACGGAAGTGCAGCAGCCTCCAGTGGTGGACGGTCGTGCGTTACCTCCTGGCCAACCTGCTGGACTACGACGACGTGCTGGTCTGCCTCGAGGTGAACTAGGAGAGGAAGGGGAACCAAACCTGCACATGGAAGAACCAGGGCAAATGCAATGGGGGACTAGCGACCAGGGCACCGAGGTTTCCACGGACGAGGGTACTCTTACCACAGGTGTGTCTCAGGGTGACATGGAAGAACGCAGGGTTGAAGGGTTGAAGTCGACAGAAGGCCACAACGACAATGACGATGAGGGTGACATGTGAGGGTCGGCTAAACCAAGAACACCTACCCCAAGGGGATTCCTGCAGACGGAAAAAGGTGCTTAAAAAAAAAAAAACCCTAACCCTAAACCATAAACCATAAACCCTAAACCCTAAACCCTAAACCCTAAACCCTAAACCCTATCCGAAGGCTCCTCGATCCGACTCTGGGTCGCCGCGCCGACGGCATCATCGTGCCTACTCAGGTGCGGGTTTTCAGGGTTTAGGGTTTAGGGTTTAGGGTTTAGGTTTGGTGGCTGTGGGGTTTAGGGTTTTACGATTTAGGGTTGAGGGTTCGGGTTTCAGGGTTTTTGGGGGTTTAGCGGTTTAGGGTTCGGGGTTTAGGGTTTAGGGTTCGGGGTTTAGGGCTTACGGTTCAGGGATTCGGGTTTAGAGCTCAGCGTTTGAAGTTTCAGTTTTTCAGCGTTTAGGGCATTGGGTTTAGGGTCTCCGCTGGGGTTTGAGGAGGTGTGCCCCCTAAATTTTAAGCGCTGAACCCCAAACCGGAAATTCTCAGGGTTGGTGTAATGTAGGGGCCTTGATAATTATAGAATAGGGATTCGGGGGTGCAGTATACTATAGTTGTAACAAGGAACATCCAAAATAGTATAGGTAATAGGCATTAAGGCCCCTATATTAGTCCTAGTGTTGGAAGCGCTCGAACACACAACTTCTAATTAGGGCTTACTTGGGCGTCCAATACATAGCCTGTTGTTCAAGAATTACGGCCCATAGCTACTTCGTCAGAACCTACTATTTTGTAGGGTTTTGCGAACTTTGGGGCTGCAGGTGCGGTTTAGGGTTGAGTGTTTGGCTTCTTCTCTGCCTCCTCCTGAACCCGACGCAGGTGAACTACGTCGGCAAAGGCGGAAATCTCTACGAGACCGGCTACGAGTTCCACGGATCTGCTTTGGTAGTGATTCTCGGACGAACCGTGTTTCTTGCACTTTGGTGGATATCCAAAGGTGCTACATGGGGTTGCATGGGGCTTTTACGGGGCTTGAGGGTACTTGTGGATCTGGACTTAAGGCCTGTGGTAGGGCTCTTAAGTAATTAGGAACCTGGTTTTAGGGTATGTTGGAATTTCCGGGCAAGTGTTGAGGCTGTTGAGAGCGTTGGACTCGTTTTGATCTCAGGTGTCCTTGACGGGTAGTTTCATGCAGCAGTTGGACGGTCGAGGTGTGTTCTCGGCGAGTCCAAAGTGGTGTACATCTAAAATAAGTACCTATAGGTCTCGAGTTTAACTCTCGTTATAGCATGCCGCGCAAGGCCTTATTCCTAAACAGGAAGGCCCTTGGGTTCATGTGCAGGTTGCACATTAGTGTTTTGGTGTGTAAGATCGGGCCCGGAGAGAGGGTTGCTGTAACCCAAATCCGCAGGCTCAAACCCTAAGCTAGGATCCGGTAAGGACTTGAATGCATGGTGATTGTGATTGAAGTTCAGGGCGTACCTATCGATTAGGCCCTAAACCCTAAACCCCAAAACCCCTAAACCCCTAAACCCCAAAGCCTTGGAGGTCGGCAGTCTGGGACAAGTCGTTGGTTTTTGCTCATCCAACAAAATCGGCTCGGAAACTTTAAACCCTAAACCCTAAACCTCATTGAAACAGCTCGGCATATCGGTTTTCTCATTTTTCATGGCAGTCAAGCGAGGCTCCCGTTTCCGAATGCTCAACCCCCTTCTGGGTAACACGCAGCTCATCGGAGACCTTTTATGCCTCCTATAGAGCCCTAGTTGTCCCAGGGTTCGTTTGGGGGTTAATGGGTTTGGGGTCCAGGAGCTTTACCAGACAAAAATATAGCCTAGCCGTCAACCCTGCAAACCCTGCAAGGCCGTAATGCTATACAACCCCTTGCTATCCTGAATGCTAGTCTCTGGGGCTGAGAGGTCTAAGCTGCTGGGAGCCACTTACCTCTGGGACAAGGTCCCTCGTTCGCGATCCATTCTCCGGGATCAGCTTTGGGGGCTTATTCGGAGTCGGATTTCCTAAACCCTGAACCCTCTCAACATCTCGCAACCCTAAGCTCTAAACCCCAAGCGCTAAGCCCGGATCCCTAACATTATCTTATGAGCGTTTAGACACTAGCCGATCAGACTATGAAGGTGATGTCGATACAGTGCATCGATCGACTTTGGGAGGGCGAGGGGGCGAGAGAGACAGAGAGACTGCTTAAAGTTGGTAGCGGCATTGGTGATGCTTGAAAGTTAAAAGCAACGATTACACCACCTACCCAGTGTGATTTCGATATTGAATTCACGAAGCGCCTAACATTTCGAAAGTAAGCCATGTAAAACATTCATCCAGTTCCTAACCCTAAACTTCAAACCCTAAACCCGAAGCAGACATGAATGTGGCGACAACACATGGTTAGCCTTGCCTTTCATGAGGGTTTCAGAATTTCCACTGTCCTTTGTGGTTTTGTTTTTGGGGTAGCTAGGTTTTGGCTTGTGCTTCGGATCTTTTGTCGGATATTTGATGTTTGTTGTGTGGTTTTGCGAAAATTTACTGTATTTTTCGGTTGGAGAGATGGCATACACGTGCTTGGGGGTGTATGGGATGTGAGGTCTGGGGGGCCATTGCTGGCGTTTAGAAAAGGGTTCCTTAGTTCATGGTCCTTCAATCAAGGATGCTATCTATTAACTCTGCTTCATGATTTTCTACACGGCTACCAATGTGATGTGCAGGCCGAGAGGGCGTGATTATCAAAGGACACAGGATTTCTGTCATGCGACTATAGCTATGACATCATGACCATCGCAAGGATTTGTAGCAAGCTACCATGTCCCGTATGCATTTGTTCACAACAAGGCCTCCTCGCTTTCGGAGGCTGTCCTTACAAGATATATTCCCCACCTGCTTGCCTTAAAACCTTGAGCGGTAAGCCCCGATCCTCCCACCTTTGTGGTCAGAATCCTCGTTCAACCCGCAAGTTTGGGAGATGACCGGCTCAGTTGTTGTGAGGTTTTAGGGCTTAGGGTTTAGGGTGGTTTATTAGGGTTTAGGGTTTAGGGTGGTTTTAGGGGGTTTAGGGGTTTAGGGTGGTTTAGGGTGCAGGGGTTTAGGGGTTTAGGGTGGTTTTCGTGAGAGGGTTGACACCGCACGCCAAAGATTTGAAAGCAGCCATACTTACAGAGCGAACTGCGGCACTGGTTTCGAGTCTCGACGCGGCCCGCAACTCCTAAGCCCGACTACCCTGAGCCCTACTAACCCTGTTGTACCCCAGACCCTAGACTAGACCTTAAGCCCTAAAACACCCTAGACCTTTGTAGACCCAAGGCCCTAAACCCTAGACGTAAACCACCAACAGAAATCCCTCAACCCTAAACCCCTAAACCCTAAACCCCTAATCCCTAAACCCTAAACCCTAAACCACTAAACCCCTAAACCCCTAAACCCTAAACCACTAAACCCCTACAGCCTGGATCTGTTTTCAGGTCCGCGTGAGCGGTGGCGCCTACGGCGGCCTGTGCCGCTTTGACCCGAGGAGTGGCGACTTCAAGCAACTCCGATGCTGTTTAGGATTTAGGGTTTTGGGTTTTGGGTTTAGGGTTTTGGGTTTAGGGTTTTGGGTTTTGGGTTTGGGGTTTAGGAATTAGGGTTTAGGGTTGAGGGTTTAGGGTTTAGGGTTGAGGGTTTAG